GACTTTCTGCTACTTTGATGAACCTTCCTTCTGTGAAGCTCGAAGTCAGCTAAATGGCTAATGATAGCTATCATAACGCCTGCCATTTGAAATAAATAAATAATAATAATAATAACGGAAGTTGTCAGCTATGCTTCCTTAATCTGATTTGAGCATTACAAGTCAGACTTCAGCAAACCAAACTCGCCAACCTTAACTTTTTGGTTCTAGATTTGTATATCCGCCTATTCAGTCCAAAATGTGCGCACTAGCGTTCTAAACAAGTGGATGAACATGGGCATATGATCCCAACCCCAAAGTCGAATTATAATTTTTCCTTGAATTAAATCATAACTACTAAAAAGAAATCCAAATATCTCTTATCCAAATATTCCAAAATTATTTAACTTATTCACGAATCATTCCCAAATCAAACTTCTTTCACTAAATTTAAACTATCTTCCTTAAGCGTGTTGATATTTTGACAGTTACTGTAAGCCAATTGTCAAAATTGCCACTTAGAAAGCATTTCTGATGCACCGGTAAAGACAGAGTGGCATCACAAGCAACGCTCCAACACCTAAACACGCAACTCACTAATCCACTTAAACTTCCGGAAAACTTGACCGGTTCATCGTATATAGAAGTAGACATAGTTGAATATATTTGCTCAATGTGTAGAGGTTATATGAAAATAAAGAATACAATCGTTAAACGGCGGCACTAAAATGACATGGATTTGAGGCTAGAAGAAGTGGGCGAAGTAGGCTGACGAGATCGGCGGTAGCTGAAGAATTTATTAATGCATGTTTTCAGACGTGACCCGACAGTGGGTGTTGTGGTGGCCTCGGGCGATGTTGGAGTGACTGTTTGACAGGTGCCATTAGGTTTATCGGGTGACATGCGGGATTGAGGGGAGTTGAAGGGGTATCGGTACTCCGGATTGGGGTTAAATGCATCCGTAAAATCCAGGTTACATGGGCGGATGGTTGTTGTAAGAGACCTCTTATTCGAAGTGTAGCCATTATATCGGGTTTCTCTAAATAAAACATACAACCTACTAATAATTTTAAGTAGCAAGTTCAATCATTACTAATATGGTACGGAAAAGCATAGATAGGAAGTTGGAGTTTAACGTGAGGCGAATAAATCAATAAAATAAAATCTTGAATTCAAGAGACGCACTTCACTATTATAACTCACTACAATTTTGGTAAGACATTTGAATATAGGAAAAGATCTCATAACATTTGACCTTTGGAATCACAATTGGTGTACCCTTGCCAATCCAATGTTGTAAAATTAAATTATTAAGAAATTTCTACATATATATATATATATATATATATATATATAGGCGGAGCTTATTTGAGTTCTCTCACGTTAAGTTTGCAATAATAAATCACAACTAACTTGAACAATCATCATCAAAACAAACTTTTCAAGCAATTCCATTGCTAATAAAATATTGGGGAGCCAAAAGACTTTTCTATAGTTTGGAAATAGTAGC